GCACTAGCTACCATCAGCAAGAACGTAAGGTGGAGCAGTTGACTTATCTGGTGGGCCTCCCTCCTCCTCCCCAAACAAAGGGGTGGAGGTTGGGTGAATGAGCTAGATTCATTAATTTTGTATTTGTTTAAATTGTTGAGGGAGTTCTTTTGGCAATTTGGAGGTATCAATATTTCTTATAACCAGCAGCGACTGTTTTGTTTTGTTGACTTTGTGGTTGCTTTCCCGGTGGTAGTGGACATGGACAATTTTTTACTTTCGACAGTGGTTTTTTATTGTTGTTCAGTAATTTACTTACATGCACAGTAGATAAATATTGCTTCACCAATCTCTATAGAAATATATTTTAATAATAATGGAGTGATTACTGTGACTAATTGAAATATAAAATGAAAATTGCAGTTTACAAATAAAAAGGTAATTGAAAATGTCATTGTTAACTATTGAAAATAATCTGCACAGCAAACTTTTTGAAAATCCATGATGTGCCATTACTTACATATCTCATCCTAACTTTGAAAATTGATTACTATTTTTTTTAGTGGATCATAAAACCAGCATTGAATGTAATGAAAAGCCATTTTCTGGGTGAGACCTGGAGGATCCCCAGAGCTATACCGGGCTTATGTGTATATATATTAGACTGTGGCAACAGCCAGGAAGACTCCCCGGAGTCTTCCTGGCTGGCAGACTGCCTTTCTTTTCATTGGGGGCTTGGCATTCATTCTGTTGGACCGCGCACTTGAATGGCGAGAATTGACTGCGGTCGTTCAGGTTTACCTGGGGGGTGAGTTGGAGCACCTCAATGCATGATTGTTTGCCCCCGTCCTTCCTCATGATGTTGGCCAGGTGCGGCTTCACGTGCAGGTTCCCTCTCTTTCGGCATCCCTGGTGGCCGAGGATTTGCAAGCCCGTGGGCATTTGGCTTCGGTCTTACGCTTCTTTTCCTTGCTGGAGCTGTCTTCGGACTGGCTCAGGGTGGGTGTGGAGGAGCGGGTTCCAGGCCAGTGTCCGGTGTGCTTGCTTCAGCAGCTCAGGCGTTGGCTGCCTTGTTGAAGTTGTATTTGTGCCATTTTTGAGGGAAGCAGTGTTCTGTTCTTCGCTTCTTGCCTCGCATGCTGACAGGCGGTGCTCATCCATTCTTTGGAATCATCTTGGGCCCTTCCTGCTGAGTCGTCAGCACAGTGATCGCTCTGAGCATCAGTCAGACTCTTGTAGGGGTCGTCAGCTCTTTCACGGTTTGCCCCGTTGATGGGGCGATAAGGGGAAGGCTCGTGCTGTTTGTTCTTGCCTGGTCCCAAAATTCGTGGGCATTTCGGGTCATTTTCCTTCGGCCTGCGGTGGCATTGAGTCATTCCTTCTCCTTCAGGGAGATCGGGGCTTGCAGGGTGGGCTTCTTCCCCCGTGCTCTGTCAGGTCATCTTAGAGTTGGTTTCCCGCCTGTTTTCAGTTCTGAAACGGGACTGGGCTGATCTGCGATTTATACTGGACTTGTCCCGTCTGATCCCCTGGGTCTTTTGCCCTTCCTTTCGGATGACTGCACTGTCTTGGGTCCAGCTGCTTTTGGTGCTGGGTGCCTGGATGGTGTCTGTGGACCTCCGGGATGCGTATTGGCATGTCCGGATTCATCCGGTGTTCAGAGACTGTCTCGGTTTTGTAGTTGGGCGACAGACTTACTGCTTTCGTTGCCTTCCAGTTTGGACCTGGCACCTTGCATGCCCACATGCTCTAACCGGGTCGTGGTGACCCGTTTGAGTTCTGGTTTACCTTGACGATTGGCTGGTGTGGTCTTCCAGCCAATCCGTGTGTCTACTCACCAGGGATTTGGTTCTTTCCCAGCTCACCGAGTTCGGGTTCTTGGTGTACTGGAGGAAACCCCATTTGGTTCCCTCTCGGATTCGGACTGAGCTGGGTCTTGTATGGGACTCTCGGACCGCTTCCTTGTCTCTCCCTCTGGCGATGTTGTTGCGGCTTCAGTCCTGCTTGCAACTGTTTTCGGAGGGCAACTGGGTCACACGTCGGTTGTTTGGGCGGCTGTGCAGGAGCCTGATCTTCGCCATACTGGTCTACCCGTCGGGTCAGATCTGGCTTCGGTGGATGTTCTGGTTTCTTCAAGGGTGTCCCTTCCGCCGCTCTCGTAATCGCTGTGTTCGGATCCTGGGAGCCTTACGTCGGCTGCTGCGTTACCGGCTTCCTCTGAGAGTTTTTCGGGTTCTGTGCCCTGACGCCTTCCCCGAGCCCTCCTCGATGTGTTCATGGATGCCTCGTCTCTCAGCTAGGGTTTTGTGACCAGTGCTTACCAGGCAGGCCAGGGTCAGAGGGGCCTGTCCTTCCATCGGGCTCACAACACGGAGCAGGAGTTTGCAACGGTGTGGCATTCGCTTCAGAGGGTTCATGTTGCTCACAGAGCAACGATCCAGCTCCATTCGGACTGCTCCCCGGTGGTTCATTGTCTGAACCGTGGGGGTTCTATGCGGTCCTTGGCTCTTTGAGGCTGGTCGCTTCAGGTGACTCTTTTGCTGAGTTCTCGGGGTTTGGCTCTCCTGGCGGATCACGTTCAGGGGGTGTCAAATGTCCTGGCAAATGGCCTGTCTCGGTTCATTCCCCTATCCATGGAATGGACGGTCGACACAGACCCATTCAGTTGGCTCTGCTGGACGTACAGGCACCTAGAGGTGGACCTCTTCGCATCAACGTGGTCGAGGCATCTTCCAATGTATGTGGTGCCCTTCCCAGATTGCGAGGCCATTGGGGTCGATGCCTTTCAGCTGAACTGGTCGAGTTGGAGTTACCTGAACCTCTTCCCATCGGTTCGGTTGTTGCTCCGGGTCCTGGCTCGCTTGGAGACACTTATCAGGGACAAGTAGTCCTGTTAGCTCTTTGGTGGCTGGCCCAGCCCTGGTTTCAGGCACTTCTTGCTTCTGTCCGAACCCAAGGGTCTTCCCGCGGCCCCGCCTTTTTCAGCAGATTGGTTCATTCTAGTATGTGGCTGGTTCGATCTTCTCTGCTTTTTGTGTCTGGTCTTTTTGACGTGGGTTTATCGCCACTTGTATGGTGATCAGGTCGCTTAGTTGGTGTCCCACCTGCGAGTTTGTCATGACAGCAGTATGAAATTTCCTGGCGGTCCTTTCGGCACTTTGTTTCTTCGTAGGTAGACTTCAATTTCTGATCAGGTTGTTTTGTTCTTTCTCTCTTGGTTGTTTCAGGACCGTCATCTTATGCCATATACTATCACCTCATTTCAGGTGGCGCTGGTGGAGCTGCTGCAGCTTGCATTTGGGGTGTATGTCACTTCTGCTCCGTTTCACAAGCATTCTCGTGAGTTGTTGCACCTCCAGCCTGCTCATGCGTCGCCTGAGCTGTCCTGGTCGTTGCACTGGGTGCTCTCTTATCTCTTCTCGGTTTGTGGTGGCCCCCTCGGTTTAGGACTGTTTTTCCTATGGCTCTTTTCTTGTTGGCATTGGCCTCTGGGGGTTGGGTTGGAGAGCTTCATGCTCTCCTCCAGTGCAGGGGTTTCTGCTCTTTCGGTCCTGGTTCGTTTCTTCGTTTGCAGCCATCTCCTTCTTTTCTGGCGAAGAATGAGTCTGCCGCTTTCCGAAGGGGTCCTTGGGTTGTTGATGCTTGGTTGGTTCGGCCGGGGGTGCATCATGTTTTGTGTCTGTTTGTGGCTCTTCGCCGTTAGTTGCGCGCCACGGCGTCTGTGGCAGAGGACGCGCTTTGGGTTGACCCAGTTTCCCTTCTTCCCTATTCCAGGGCGTGGGTCTCCCAGGTTGTCCTCAGGATTATTCGGTCCAGCCAGCCTGCAGTCTATCCCCGTACGCACGCTGTTCGAAAGTTCGCGGCTTTGACTGCTGTTTTGGTAATATGTCCTGGCTAATCTTTCAGGCATGTGGCTTTTGGAGGTTGAACAGGGTCCTGGCTGCACGTTACCTTGTTAATGTTCCTGGTCCTTCTCGGGCTTGTTTAGCCTTGGGTTGCAGATTGCCTGTTGTCTCGACTTCGAATTGAGGAGCAAGTGACGACTGACAGTCACCCGGATGAGTGTCTTTTCTTCTTATCTTTGGTTAGGTAGCTCTGGGGAGCCGAAGGGGCTCTCCACAGAAAACCAGCGTTGATTGTAATGAAACGCCATTTTCTGGGTGAGACCCGGAAGCTCCCCAGCATCCCTCTCTCTCTCCAGTCGGCGGTTTTTGATACTCAGCCTCTGAACTGAGGAGAGTTGCCGGCGTGGAGGTCTGGAACCCCCCCGTTCCCCTCCCGGGGAAGGGGGGGGGGGATTGCAGCCGGATGTGCAGCGGTTGTGGTGATGTCATGTTTGTTTCCTTTTTTTTTTTATTGGGGAGTTCTGTTTGCTAGTTTTGCTTTTGGTTTGCAATTTTTGACCAGCAGTAGTTTGTTTTGGAATTCCTACCTTTCTGGGTGCCTGACCTGGTAGATGGCAGAAAAAGACTGCTTCCAATTACACTGGGGTATCTCTAGGCCATTGCTTCTCGTACCTCTCTTGAGGGGGCCAGGTTCTGGCTCTGGTCCCCGGTAGACTTAGAACTCCTTCGATTGACTGTTGTCACGGTCTAATATATACACTTCAGCCCGGTATAGCTCCGGGGAGCCGAAGGGGCTCTCCACAGAAAAGCATAATTTATACGACTATTATTTGCTCATCTGCTTTGGTAGTTACTTGCATTGTGTACTGGTACTGGTTAAGGTACACATTTATCATTACATTATTCTTGTACTCTGAGAAATTAGTATGAAACTTTGTTTTCTCTCAGTCTTTGAATTACATGTACATTTGTGCTTTTTACAAGTTTTGTAGACAACACTTGTACTAATCATTTTGTGTTATTACAAAATGAGTCTTCGCATTGTATTTGTCCCCCTTTGATGTTGCCATATATTCCCATTATATCAAGTTGTTACCCCTATGTTTGACTGTTTGTTGTCGCAATGAAAGTTACGGTAATTCAAATCTTTATTTTTTTCACTGTTCTGGTTTACAGGCTCTCTGTTCTTCCCCGATATATGCAGTCCAACTAGACCACAAGCTATATCCTCCAGCTACCAACACAGAGTCCCATTTTGTGATATAACAAATAATTCATGTAGCCCCTTAAGGGCAGCTCCTGGGCAGCCCAGCGTTCAAAATTCTAGTTTTGTGGGCACTGAAAAATCTGGAGAGTTTTATAACAAAATTGAAATGGACGCTGACTCAATGCCAATAGATGAAGCGGAGTGTGTGTGTAGTGAATATCATAAAAACCACACGGTGACCGAGGCAGTGGTTGATGCAAATACTGAGCTCATTGCAGAAATGCTCAGGGAAACCCATGGCTGTGAGCCATATTTGTTTTTCTAGTAAAGGACAGTTGCAGTGTTAATTATTTAGAAGAGGATAATGGAGACAGAAACATTAATAAAATGGTATAAGGTACAGTATCTTCCTCTAGTTGATGTTTGTCAGAACAACCTTGTATTATACTGTATGTTTGTGTGTAATTGCCTTAATGTTGTTACAGGATGAGAGTTGTGCTCATGGTGTCCCATCTTCCCAGCACTCTTTGTCATAACACTTTGAAACTACTGACAGTTTTGGCCTACACCACTTTTATCACTTGACTTGTTCCAACCTTCTACCTCTCTGTTTGCAAAAGAAAACTTTCTAATATTTTTTTGGCACCTTTGTTTCCTTAGCTTGAATCTATGACCTCGTTCTTGAGGTTGCCTATATCAGGAATTCCTCTCTTAATTTGGTTGATTCCTGTTATTATATTGTATGTTATGATTATATTGCCTCTTTTTCTTCTATCTTCTGGTTTTGGCATATTTAATGCCTCTAGCCTCTCTTCCTAATTCTATTTTCAGAAGTGAAAAACAAGAGTTTTTCAGTTTTATAGAATGCCTTTGAACCTTTTCCAGTTTATTGACATGGAACTTGAAATATGGACACCATACAACTGCTGGATATTCAAATTTTGGTCTCACAAAAGTTATAAACAGTTAATTTAGTAATTCACCATCCATGTAATTAAAAGCATTTCTGTAGTTGGGAAGTGCAGCATATGCTCTTTACACAATGTCCTTTACATGTTACTTTTGTTCTGTTATTACACTATATACACACACATATATAAGTACAGTACCTACATTTGTGTTCACCATAGCAAACCACTAAGCTGGTAAGGTGAGTCCAGACAATAACAGGTTGCCACACAAAGCCAGCAGACGACACTACCCACCCTCCCTCGCCAAGATTTCTCCTCCCATCATACTATGCACAATACAAATTATCACCAAAATCCTGCTGTTATCAGAATACTGGTCATTTTTATCACAGTCAGCTGTCTTCTGTAATACTGTCATCGCTAAATAATGTTACATATATATTTTTAACATTTTTAGGTGATGCTGTGGTTACAAGCCGCACAGCACTGCTGTTAGCTCATTTGCAAGCCTTGGTTTCTCACTTAATACTGAGGCTCTCACACCCGGGAATGTTACACACGATTTTTTATTTTTAAGTGTGTCTGTTTACAGAAGTGCTGAGAAAGGATTTGAGCTGCATGTACTGTGGGAGTTTTGAATCACTCTATCTAAAAATGTCACATGATGCTCTGCGCATCCTCGCTCTAGCACCACAAGGCGCTCTGCGCAGTGCACTGGTTAATGCTGCTCATTTACTTTTACACTCTTGTTAATTTTTTATTGTTTATGATTTGAATGAGTTAGCCAAAAATTTTATTACACCTTTTAATAATGATTTTATATTTATTTATATATACAAGAGTTCTTACATTCTTGTACAACATACAATTGTACAGTATATTTATAATTTTTAGATGAGAGTGCGTGGGAGGGAAAGTGCTGTCGTGTCCCGATGACAATGGATCTTCCATCGACCTCCTCCACACAAGCCATTTCTCAATGCTCATCCATGCTCGATCACTTTTCTACTGTCAAGGCTGAGAATGGTTATGAATTGATCAACTTTGAAACAATCATGACAGAAATGCATGGATGCTGAGTGTTAATAATTTATAAGTACAGTACTGTAAATATATATATTGTACTCTAGTACAGTACTGTATACAGTAGTAATATAACAGAAAATAAAGATGCTTTGCAATTAACCCATTTTATTTTTATATTATAAACAAGATTTATTTACCTTTTTTCCATTGCTTTACAATTATAAAATATAGCCACCTGTGAAATTCTAGAGTATTTGTTGCAAGAGGACTCATGTTTTCAAGAGCAATATACAGTACCTGTATAAATCAACTCAATTAAAATGAAATGTTTATTCAGGTAAAAGTACAAACATAATGTCAGATTTCTAGATAGAGCTAGTACATACCTAAAGCCACTAATACGCACAGCATTTCGGGCAAGGTGTGGGAAAAAACACTTAAGACTAAAACTTGATACTAATTGAGATCAAAGCATAAATTGAGTTGAAATAGGGAAAAAGGGGAGAAAAAATGGTGGAAATCGGTAGTTATAAAAGTTGGTCATCAAACAGTATTGTTTGAAAATAGCAAGACATGGGTTGACATTAAGGGGGTAAGGTAGGTTATATGGAGTTTATTAGGTAGTACTTAGTTTTCTCTTAAACTGGTTAAGAGAGGTATAGCCTTTGACGTGATTGGGAAGGTCATTCCACATTCTGGGTCCCTTGATTTGCAGAGCATTTCTAGTTTGGTTAAGTTGCACTCTTGGAATATCAAAGAGATGTTTGTTTCTGGTGTGGTGCCCATGGGTTCTGCTACAACCTTCTAGGAAGCATTTAAGTTCAGGATTGGCATTACAATTCAGAGTTTTAAATATACAGACTACACTTGAGAGGATGTGCAGTGACTTAATATCTAACATAATCAAAGATTTAAGTAAGGGTGCCGAGTGCTGTCTGGGGCCAGAGTTTGTTATTGTTCTAATAGCAGATTTGTGTTGAGTAATTAGAGGATGTTGATGATTTTGGGTAGTAGAACCCCAAGCACAATAAAGCATATAGTCATAAAATCTACTTGCAATTGCTATGTTTTAGTAATGTGGTACAAATTAAATAAAATTGTCTTTCATTTAATAATATAATTACTTGTACACTATATGCAATTCTTATACAAACACTAAGCAGTTCTAGTTGAATGTAAATGAACTCTTAAAAAAATTGTGTATAGTGTTTCTAATGCGTAATTACACCAAAACTTAATGTTCGTTATCTTCGTTAAGACTGGAACTTCAGTGCATTCCATGAGTAAATTATAATTAGATTCACATATTATGTAGAATACACTGTAGATTATTAAATGATTATTAATCAATGAATAATTGATAATTAATGATTCATGTAACCATGGCAATTGATAAAGTTATAATTAATCATGTAACCATGGCAACTTATGGAAAGTGATTATTATTAATCATCGCGTAATCATGGCAACTTATGGATAATGATCATTACTCTTCATGTAATCATGGCAACGTATGGAAAGACAAAGATGTCAAAGGATGCTGTTATCACTGTTTTTGTTTAATTACATCTATCACTTCCTTAGTGATCTTTAGGGTGCCAGTATGAACTTAATAAACAAAATTATTTTATATTTTATTAACTCAAACATCTGTAGATTTAACAGTCTATAATTGTAGATGTGAAATACATTTGTATTTTGTCTGTAGAAAAAGGTGTGACTATGGTGTATTCTGGACATAAGTTTTCCTCTAAAAAAATAAAATAAAATTTATTGCAATCAACTTATGATCACTTTTTTACTCTTTTTTTTCCCATATTTTAACTTATTAGTATACACACAGACATGATTTGATGCTATTAAGGTGAACTTTAAAGTCATGCTTTCCCAGCTACAAGGCAGAAAAGTAATGCTGTACACGTGCATTTCACACCAGTGTGCCGGTGCTACCAGTTTTACAAATGTTGTATTAGGGATTTAGGATTTAGGATTTAATACCAGTACCAGTAAAATCATTTATATCAAGGCATGATTTAGTGCTAGGTAGCCTCAAGCATAACCATTTTTGTGTGTACATGAATATTTACCTTTCGTGACTTTTGCCATGTCATAATATTTTACACACACACACACACACACACACACACACAGTGGTAGACAGTTGGAACAAGTTAGGTGAGAAGGTGGTGGAGGCCAAGACCGTCAGTAGTTTCAAAGCGTTATATGACAAAGAGTGCTGGGAAGACGGGACACCACGAACGCAGCTCTCATCCTGTAACTACACTTAGGTAATTACACACACACCTATCTGGACCTAAAAAAAAGGCTTTTGACAGTTTCACATAAGAGGTTGTTCTGGAAACTGGAACATATTGGAGGGGTGACAGGTAAGCTGCTAACATGGATGAAAAATTTTCTGATAGAAAAATGAGGGTAGTAATCAGAGGCAATGTATCAGACTGGAGAAATGTCACAAGTGGAGTACCACAGGGTTCAGTTCTTCTAAACGATCTATCAGATGCAGGATACAAATATGGTAATTACAGTCTTGTAAAGCCACTAGCACGCGCAGCGTTTCGGGCCGGTAATGTTCATTGTCTACATATGAACGATCTATCAGATGGAATACAGAATTATGTATATGAATTTGTTTGGTGATGATTTTAAGATAATAGGAAGGATAAGAAACCTAGATGATTGTCATGCCCTTCAAGAAGACCTGGAAAAAATAAGTGTATGAAGCACCACTTGGCAAATGGAATTTCATGTGAATAAATGTCAGCTAGGAAGATTGACACTGGGAAAACCTATGAAATAACCACTGAGTTATTACTATATGACAGTCTATAGACGGAAATAACTAAGTTATAACCAGTCATAAGTTTTCAAGTATTATCAACACATTACAGCAACTGATCATATTACAATCGAAACCTAGATTTTACTAGACTGGAAAAAATAAATGAAGCACCAAAATGGAAATTAAATGTTAAAAGATATACCTGAGTTATTTATTAGTCTATTCTAAGTTATAACCAGTTAGAGTAGTACATACAAATTACACTGTTCAGAAAATCTCCAGCACACACGGACCAAGTCTTATGACAATAGATTGGTGGGTAAACCGTGCAAGAGAGAGTAGAAGTGCGAGGGTCACAGTGAGGGTGGAGGAGGAAGGCGACGTGCGACCGCCCCGACAGTCACACAACAACTGAGCTCCACAAAACTTGCACGTCGGTGTTGGGGATACAAGACACTCCGTACATTGACAACATCGCACACTTTATTATTATTAACATCTTTATTGACAAAATTAATTACAATTTTGCCTAATCTGAGGATTTTGATAGTCTTATTAAATTGAGGTTAATGCTAGTATTCACTGTCACGCAGGACAGAGGGTCATACATAAGACAATAGGTCTTTTACCACTTCGGACACCAGCTTTCGATGTTTCGCCTATGTGTACGTGTTCCACATTAAAACGACAATATAATGCTATTAACAATTAAAATCTTCTATTTAACAGGCATATAGTTATTAAATGAAGTTTAGTGATGTAATAGACATAATCCGGAGTTGGTAAGGACGCTGCCCGCCAGCGTAAACACAACACACCCGAATACCCACAAACACGATACAACGCACAAAACACAACACTTCTGTCAGTTTTTAGATAAACTCCTTTTATATTTATTATGTGAGAGTTATACTTGTATAAAATGATAACTATTATAGGTAAGCGCCTAATATTTAATATTAATCAATAAAAAAGAAGTCAGAAGCCACACGCCTGTCTGTACATGTCTTTTGTGTAAAAGTATTTTGGGCGCTCATGTACTTGTGCGCTAGCTGGCGTTCACAACTGTTCTCGCCTACAAGCATTAAAATTAAACAAACGAATTAATTTTTTCATTTATATACAAGAAGAGAAGGCTACCCTTGAGTCTGTAATATTCATCTGATCACTGGTCTCCCATTTGGTCCTCATTGCTTTATCTTACTATTATTGAATGTCAATAACCGTATTATGCAATTTCAATTTCTTCTATTTCTTTCTTTATTATGCACCCCATACCCATCCCGTGGGCCGTGTTACCGTTTGTCCTGGCGCCATCTATGTTTTGACAGCAGTACTACTAATGTTCCCACGTTATGTGACGATCACTATACGGGTGTTACGGTCAGTTGCTCTTCTATATATGTTTATGGACAACGTAGGTGATTTGAGGCAATTTGCGGCCACAGTAGAGTAGTATCCACGCGGTGAGTGGTGGGAGAGGATATATACTGCTGTGTGCTCGACCAGCGGGTGAGAGGTAAGTTATATCGAATAATTATGGGAAAGATAGGTAATTTTTAAGCGTAAAAGAGGTCAGGTAACTGATAACTACAGAGATGGGTAGTGTTTTTTGTCTTTATTTACTAAAGTGGAACATTACATTATGCCTTTAGCTGAACAAGTCTACTGGTGGGGGAAGTAGACGGGTTTTATGAAAGTATTTTACCTAAATATTTATTTGGTTAACTAGTTCAGACGTTACCAGAGGGTGTTCCTTTTAATCTAATCTTAAAAATCTAGCCGGACGAAGTGATAAAATAAATTGAATAGAACGAAGTGGTTTGCCAGGGTGCTTAACGTTTAGTTTAATTCATTTACTATGCAGCCCATGCTTAAAGAATGCAAGTTAACCATATTTAATTTACCGTAGTTTTACTAGACTCGATACTGTATACCGTTTTTACTCTATTTAATACAGCATGTCGGGTAAATGCCAGTCGCGGAAAGTTCCTAATATGGTAAGTTTTAAAGGAAAATTTTGTAAAGTTAATTTTATCGCTTAAGTTAGCGGCCAATTAGCTTAGTCTATTCTGAGGAAAGTTACTAGAATCTAACATTGCAAGTACCATCACTTCTTTTTGAGAAACGTGACTAGATACATGAATCGCATAATTTGACTACTGGCTGTTCATGGTTTAGGTTACATAGTTGAGGAAATAGTGATAAGGTTTGTGATTTTGTGTACTTTGACTTTAGCAGAGATTTTGATAGTGGCACAAAATTGATAAGAGGCTAGCATCATTGGGAGTGCTGACTCAAGTTGATTAGGGCGTGGTTATACCAAAGGAAATGATAGTATAAATGGGGTTAAGTTGGGGGCAGAAATGTTGAAAGTAGTGCCTAAAGGCTGTCCTTGGACCTCGGTTATTCACAACACCAGATTTTGGTTTAGACTGCAATAGTTGCAGAATTGGCATATAAAAAAACTGATGCCCTAAATAGTTTTGAAATAGTTAAGACTACCAAATGCAGTTTAATGCTGACACATGTAAGGTTTGGAGGCTAGGTAAAGATGAGCTAAATCGTGTAGATTGTTAAGGGTATTAAATTTTTTGCAGGTGGTAAATTCTCCCTCGGCTGGCACTGCTCTCCAGCCTGGGATGTTGATTGGTTAGTCTTCAACTGCCTCCCAACATGGTAGTGAGGTCCTGAGCTGACATGCAGTGAGGAACGTGGAAAGCTTCCTGAATTGGCACATGGTATGCCTCCCTTTCAAACCAGCAGCTGGCACAAATGTTCCAGCCAACATCAGAATAGTGGATGAAGCCCACACTAAAATGTAAGTGGTACAGTAAATGGACCCCCCCCCCTTTTGACACTGAACAGTTGGGAGGAAAGGGGGGGGGGGGAGTGTGGCTTATAGTTGTATTGCTACAGAATCTTTTGCCATAAACCAGTGGCACAGCCTATTGGCACTTGCTATTCAGAATCTTCCCCCTTACATAGTTAATTAAAAAGGAAATGCTGTAGACAAGCTTAACTTTTTGAAGGGGCAACATTTTCGTTGCCATCAAAGCACATCAAAGATGCTCTGAGCTAACTTCCCCTAGTCATTAGTGAATGGTGGCTAGTAACTCTAATAGGAACTTTACTGCCATTAGAATCTATGCAGAAAAAGTGTGCACTTCTGCTGTATCTGCCAGTTTGCTAGAAATTGAAATTGGCATACTTGCTCAGCAACTACTTGCCCTCTTGTACCATGTTACTCAACCATAACCATCACACCACCCATTCTTCTAAAATAACACCCCATATGATAAACTTCTGCTTTTAATAAATATTTCAAACTTTAATATTAGTTGGCTTGCAAGGTGTGTTAATCATTCCCTTGGCAGAACTGTAGCAGGTCCATAAAGAAATTTATAATAAAGACAAAGTGTGGTCATAAGTGCTGCAGATGGGGGAGATAGCCTTACACCTGCAGAAGTTTGGTGATAACTGGAAAGAATATGGCCTTGTATAGTTGCTAGTGTAAATATTACTAAATTTAGTAAAATCACATTGTCTTGGTAGTATAGTTGGGTTAATTATGAATTTTCAGACTAAAAAGCTTGGTACATAACTTTCAACAGAATAAATTTGTCCATCTAGTAGTAAGCAGTGGTTGTAAAAGAATAAAGATTTGTATATATAAATTTTGTATCGCTTTTATTCAAATGTTATACATAGTTTAAGTTTGCAATGTTCCAGAAAAATAACGTTCATAACTAAAGTTGTTAGAAAATAAAATTTTTATAGGATGTTGACTTTAAATGACTATATCTTTGTTTGTAATTAATAAAGATGGGACAGAAAGATACTTAGTGCCATGTAAAACGGCGACTGTTAAACTGGTGGTACAGGTATGAACAAAATAACATCGCTATGCAAATAAGTTTTTAGTAACATTTACTGTTCACATGACAGGTTGTGGAAGGTCCTGGCAAGAAAGAGCTGCAGAAAAATACTTGCAGATCTAGAGTAAGTAGTGTTGTGTACTTTGGAATTGGAGGGTAAAAGTTAATTGCTAAAAACCTGTTAAATATTAGGGTATGGGAATTGAATGGGTATGGAAAAGTCTAGGCTTAGGCTGGTGGGTACCATCTGCAAATTCATTCCTTTCACGAATGTATTGAATAGAATGGTAATGTTGAAATTGTGAAGATTGTAATGTGGGGCATTAGATCTTAAACAGCATAGGTGAGGGTGTTTTATTAATAAAATTTTAATGAAATGTAAATCTTGTTTGGTTAACATTAAATGTTTGTTTAAGCTTTAATCTATAAATGTACAACACTGTTAAGGGTAATCAGGAGTCAAATAAGTTAATGGCAGGGAAAGTTTTGTTCTAAGTGATGGTATTTTTCCCTTGAAAGTAAAAAAAAAAAATATTCAATGTTTACTTTAGCTTGGTCTTTAAAATTATAATGTTTTCCAGAATGTGGTTTGGAAAGTCCAGAAGTCCCTCTGTCAGTTGGAAGAGTATCAGGTGAGTTGTAGTAAAGGTTAATTTGAATAGATTTGCATAAAAGTAAAAAATTGTTATAACTTAAACAATATAGCATTGGCTAAAGATAAATGTCAATTGCAGTTGGAGATAGTTTCTCAAATGACATTTACTGAAACTTGGCAAATTTTTGTGATGCCATATATATTTATATGGCTAAATTAGATCTTTACTACTAGAATGTAGGTAATGTTAATTCCTTAAAGAAATTAAACATTTTCCATTTGAATTTTTAAAGTACTGAATGCTCATTTTAAAAGTAAAGCTACTTCAGTTTTAAATCTGAAGTTAATTTGTTTACATATTTTTCAGATGGTGAATATGATGCATGGACTGGCTTGGAGTGAGGCTCCTTTACTCTGGAAAAGGAAATCTACAAAGTGGGTGAGTTTGAATTTGATGTTTTAGCTATATCAATGACCTAATCTTAATTCTCTTATCTAGTCCATTTATAGGTGTGTAACCATGTCCCCCTGTTACAACCCACAGGGAATGATGCAGTTTGTACTGATCCTACCCCATTTCATAGAAGGGGACCAGGCAGTCCTGCAGATTTCCCTGTCCTGGCTTTTTCAGAGCTTTGCTCTACTACCCATCTAATAGATGGACTAGAATTGCATAGGTTTAGGGACCCTTAACAATGGTGACATTGTTAATTCTCACAGGGCTTGTTTGCTGAATGGGTGCATGCATCTAAAACTAGTGCCTGGAATACATTGTACAGTGCTTACAAGAAAGCATATGTACAATGTGTTGATGGCACTAGAGTGGTGGATGTAATGTTCCCATTCAGGGAACAAGGTCTGCACTAAAACCAGAGGAAGGGATAGGCCTTGCTGAGCCTATCTTAAAAGATAGGCTGTTAGGATTTTTTGGGCTTATTATTAGGCATTGGTGATAATAAAAGTAGTGTCCCTGTTTAATTTTTATTTTTCTTTTACAGGTGATTGTCTCTGGAGTTGTCTTGGCCTTTTGGATCTTCTGTTCATCTAGGAGCATCTGTCCCACAACCTGAAACTAATAAATATTAGATGTATTATAAATACTATATTTAAAACTTATTAAATAAAACAATTTTAATGAAACTACTTTATATACCTTATCCTGAAATTATGCTGGAAATTATTGTTTAGTACTATTGATGCAATGTTTAAACATCTGAAATTTTTTTGCTTTGAAAATAAATACTTGGTAAAATTTACACCTATTTGTAACTTGTTACATAGGTGCATGCAAAATGCATTGAAAAGATGTAAAAGTAGACTACCTATTCAATTTACATAAACTAACAAATATTGCAAATTAGTCTGAAATATTAAAGTGGAAGAAACTTTAATCAATATTTTAGTTTTCATATTTGAAAGTAAATTTAAAGCTATGCAACACCTAAGCTTTGTACAAATTATGATTACAATTATCTTTAGTCAATTTTAAATTTACAAAACATTAGAAAAGTGACAAGCATCTATACAACATGGTTTTGAAAAGTCTTTGGTAACTTAAATTTAATCAAAGCTCTTAAATGATTTGTCTGCCAAACTCTTCAGATATTCTGAAATATTTTACCTAGATTAAAACCATCATTGTTTGAAAGGGCAAAACAGATTACTGTCAATTAGTTTGACCTAACATCTGCAAGGTCCTGAAGGAATGGAATTTTTTTTTGTAAAACTTTGTTTGCTAAAAACAAACCCTACCTAATGAACCTGCTCATTTTTTTTAGAAATGGTAATTGCAACATTACCAAAGGCCATTGTTTTAATAGCCAACGTACCAAATGAAAGACCAAGAAGCAACAAACAGGTACATGGTAGAAAGGACAAAAGAATGGTTATGAGGACCCTTTCATTTGTTAAAGAAATGACTGGGAAAAATGCTGTCATACCACAAGGGGTCTTAACCCTTGTCATATACATCACTGACATTAATCTAAATATTACCAACCACAAAAATTGCTGATAACATGTTATAAAAAAAATAAAGAATATAATATTGAGGCCTTAATGCAGATCTCTAACTCTACAAATAGTAACAAGACTGGCACTTTCTTAATATAAAACAGAAAAAAATCCAAGACCTTGCACGTGAGCCAGAACAATCCATATCACAACTACCACATTAAAATGAAACAACAATGAAGGTAAGGTAATTACCAAAAGAAGGCACCAAACCGGGAAGGCCATGTAGCACCATCAAAGTGCGAAATAATCAGAGGGCGCTAATATCACCAAGAATGCCAATACGAGAACAAAAACGCATAAGGCGAACGATATCAAAAGTATCCGATTCACCTAGAATTCTATCGAGGGGCGAGGGACGGTCGGAAAGCAAGACACACGCTCGTCCTGGAAGTCAGGACATTCAACAAGGATATGCACAACTGTAAGAGGGACAACGCAATTCGGACAATAAGGAGCAGGGCGGCGCTCCATTAAGTGACAGTGGGTTAAGCGGGTATGACCAACCCACAGCCGTGCCAAAGCAGTGTCCCACCGCCGGTTACGGTGGTAGGAGGAAGGCCACGGGGACACACTAAGTTTGAGAGTACGCAGCTTGTTACCAACCACAGAGGACCAACAACCCTGCCAACGGGGAAGAATGAATAACAGGATAAAAGTCGGAATAAGGAATACCTTTACGGGAGATGGGACAAGAACGGATAGCTTCCTTAGCGGCAGCATCCGCACGCTCATTGAAACACCAATATGGCTGGGAACCCAGCAAAACTCTACTGATTTAAATTTACTAGAAATAAGAAACAGCCAATGTTGAATCTCAATGACCACCGGATGGACAGGATTAAAGGACCCTAGAGCCATGAGGGCACTACGAGAATCAACTACAACCACAAAGGAGGAATGAGAAAGCAAGAGACAAAGAGCATAGAGAATAGCATAAAGTTCTGCCGTAAAGACGCTAGCCTCCGAAGGGAGGCGACACATGTAAGTACGGTCAGGAAAAACAACAGAGTAGCCCACACCATCCGCAGACTTAGACCCATCAGGGAAGATGGAAATAGAGTGGGAGTGCGAAGAAAAGTGCTCAAGGAAGAGGCTTTTCAGAATTGTAGGAGGGGTAAAGGCTTTAGTAATACAAGTCAAGGACGTACAAAACTTGGGAAGGGGGACTCTC